CAAAAAAAAAAAAAAAATCTCTGCGGGGGATGCAACTGTTCCTGAGGGACACAGGGACTCGCCCCTGAGTCTGGAGGCAGGAAAAAGCAAAAAGATGACAACTGGTGCTGTCAGCAGGCCCGTTGGAGGAGCAGAGGAGGGAGTGGATGAAAACAGAAGAATCTGTCTGTGGGTCGGTGGGAAGGCTTGGTGGGAAGGAGGTGCCGGGTGGGGGAAACATCACGTGCAGCCTCCGCCTTTTACTGACGGTCCCCAAGCCCTCCCTCACCTGCTTGGAAGAAAATAAATACTCCGCACGATCCATTGTTGAGTGGTTTATTAATCTGTTGTTTTGTTCCTGGGAAGGGGCCTGGCACGGCCGCAGAGGCTTCAGAAGCATCTGTGAATTGCTGAAGCAAAGCAGGAAGGAGCGGATGTTCTCAAAGTGCTCAGCGAGTTGTAGGGGAGGCACACCAGGTAACAGAGCCAAGGGGATTACCATTCCCACGTGGGAGAGGCTGCGGCGCGCGGATTAAACAAGATCATATATGTGAAAGTCCCAGCGGCTTAGGAAACTCAGGTTCAAAATCTGGGAAGAGAGAGCCAGGCTGAGAGGGGTTGGGATGGAAGGAGGCTGGTGGAGGATCACGCAGGGTCTCCCTGGGGACATCCCCACAGGTAAGCTCCAGGGGTCTTTCAGGGACCCCTCACACGCACACAAAAGCCAGGCCCCAGCATAGCTGACACTCCTGCCCCACCCCGCCAGCCAGCAGGAATTTGCCCTAGTGACCTCCCCAGGCACACTCCTGTCACCATGGTGACCGGCTACGGAACAAGCGGCCTGATTGTCCCTGCTCAGCGGGGCAGGTGAAACCTGGCCACGTGACCGATACTGGGCCAGGTGCGGTTACGGGACACCCGCCACCTCCCGGGCTTAACCCATTCGACGCCAGCACCGTCAGGGCGCACCCCTTTGGCTCTCCGTCCTCGGCCTGAAGGGTGGTGATGAAATACTCAGAGCACTGTTCTAGGAGTCGGTGAAGAAAGGAATGCAGGCCGGAATCCGACCCGGGCCGCGCAGTGGCTGTGTGACGTGCAGCTGGGTTGCTTCACCTCGCCTGGCTTCCTTTCCTCATCAGCAAAATAAGGGCAATACCCTCCCACTTCACGGGAAGGCAGGGCTGCCGGGAACACGGACGTTGCAGTGTAAACTCGACCTCCCCACAGACGGAGTGTCCCTTTTACCGCCCACCTTCACCGCAGCATGTCAGGGGCTCTAGGAGGTCTCGCCTCTAGTGGCCTGACCCACCCCAAGAGGCAGACTCTCATCAAACCAACAGCAACCACCCCATCCAGTTCCTAACAAGCTGGAAGGGGTGGGCGCCCCCCACCCATGACGCCTCCCTGAGACACCCGCTCGACTTCTTCCCAGATAGCAATGATCCCTCTTCCACCCCCCACTTTCTCTGGAACGTTCAAGAGGGAACCTCAAGCCACTGACTGGTTTTTCTGCTTGCCAGGTCCGGCCCTAACCAGCCATGTGTCAAGGCCCGGGCCCAGGACTCGGAGTAATTCTCAAGGTTGCTCCTGCCCCTAGACTTGGGGATCTTTGGCTCCTTGGCAAGGTGGTCAAGGGTCGTGGGCCAGGCTCAGGTTACCTGGTGAGGCTGTCTGAGGTGGGGAGCTGTTTGAAACCACCTTTGAAATCCTCCCTTTCTGAGCCACCAAACTGCTTTGCGTCAAACCCCTTCCCCTTCATCCACCCACTCCAGGAAAACACCCTCCAAAGACCCTTCTTCGGAGGGGCACCTGTCCCCATGCAAGGCTCAGATGTCCTCATCACTCCCCTAATGACTATGCTGGAAACGAATGATCGCTCCACCTGGTTAGAGTCCCCCAGTGACCTTCCTCAGATGAGAACAAAACGCCTGCAGGGACCCATTGGGGAAAAGATGGAGCTTTGGAGTTAGGACATATCCCACGGGTTCTTGACTACCCTAAGGAGGTGGGTGTAAGCCTGGCTGGCCCAGGTGCCATCTCCTGGAGGGGCACTAACCCAGCCGCCAGCGGAACCTTCACCTAAGCAATGGCCAGAGCCCTGAACCTCTCGATGACCATTCGGTAAAATCACTGTCACACTTGGCACTAGATGAACAAAAGGCAGCTCGTCTCCTACCAGCCGACGGTGGGCACAGGAGAGGTCGCTTCTGTAATACTACACAAGACTCTGACAGCTGCTTTGAGAACGAGGGGTGGAAGAGATTCGTTTCCACTCAGGAAATCAGGGAAGGCTTGAGGAGGTGGCAGGTATACGGTGTCTTGAAAAACGTACAGGATGAGGGCAACTGGATATCTGGGAGGCAGACGCAGCACCCCAGCAGGGGAAGCACAGAGTGGGGAAGACCCAAAAGCAGGGTGCCGGGCAGGGGAGGATGAGGATGGGGGGGTGGGCGTGGAAAAGAGGGTGGGATGCCGGGCTCGGTGGCTCAGCCTGTCATCCCGGCGCTTTGGGAGACCGAGGGGAGTGGATCGCCTGAGCCCGCGCGTTCCAGACCCGCCTGGGCAACTTGGCGAGCCCTCATCTCTACAATAAATCAGAA